AATAAACAACAGGAAATAAAACAAGGGATTTTGTAATACCATATTTGAAAACAATTTTTCAGAAAAGAAATAATTGCATTTCAGAATTTATTAGAGTACATCAGTAAAAAAGTAATAAGTGAGCATCCACTTTTATGATTATGCTAAATTGTATTATAAAATCTATCAGCAATATAAGAGAAGATTGGAAAAAAAATGTCTGGGATACCCAGTTTTAGTGTATTTTGCTGTCCTTGCTCTTCCATACCTATAAAATTTTCAATTTAGCAAAAGGAAAAGAATTTAAAAGAAATCATGGAGAGCTAAGGCATTGCAAAGGAAATAGTCCAAATAGATTGGTAGCCAGCTACTCTATGGCAGGTTGGCATTTTTAGCACGCATCACAAGTAATTGTGAAACAGAGGAAAAATAGCTATTAATAAACCATTCCCAGCAGTTTCATACAGGACTTAACATTTTACAGTTCAGCTCCTGAGGATGGATATAGCTGTGATGACCACAAGTTATGTATTACTTTTGAGACATATAATGGTGTAGGAAAATTTTACTCTGTCAATAAAATTTGTCCCTAAACCTTCATGAGCAGTGATGCCTTGATCAGCCTAATGGAAGGTCTGTACTTTTTTTCCCAACAGCTGCAAAGGGCCACAACTAAATGAATATATTTAATGAATATCCAGAGATGGCAGAATGCAACTGCTGCTGGACTTTTTTGATTATGTTAATAAGATGAAAGGAAATAATAAAGACTGGCACATCTGAAGCTTAAATTCTTTCCAATGCTTTAAGTGTCCCTTTTGGAGAGCATTTCTAGCTGAAATGTGAAGTTTATTCAAAAATCCTCAAATGTGTCTTTCTAGAATTTAATGCTATTAAGCATTTGGCTGAATACAATTATTTGGAAGAAATGGGTCTTTAGAGATCAACAATGTGGTGTGATTCATTGATCTAGTGAGGTCAGTGAACAAGTGAACAGGTTCCAGAGAGATGTCATTCAACATTAGAGCAGTATCTAGACTCCTAAGATCTTGAATATATTATGTATTAATGTCTTTGTGTGTGTGTCTTATATTGTGTGCATATATACATATATAATATGATCTGTGTCTAAATCAGAAAAAAATAGTATTTTAGCTTTCTTTTAACATTTCTGAGATTAATTTCACTTTGGATTGGGTCTTCAAATGCCTTGCACTTCAGATGTGAGTGGTCACATCGCACAGGGACAGTCAGTGGAAGTCACAGCTCTTACTTGCTTAGGGTAGGCCTTGGACCTTTAAATCCTTAAGGTTAATTGCTGTTACCTCCTTAAGGAAAGTTAGACCATTTCCTGTCATTTGGTTAACTCTGGAAGCAGTAGCATCCACTGACTATATAAATTAAGCCATGTTAGATTGCTTCAGAAGTGAAGTTATATGGATTGAAGAGCAAAACTTCACTTTCTTGCTCTAAGTTCAGACAACAAGAAGAGGCCAAGACTACCTCAGGTGCTCTCAAGAAGCTCTTTTATGCTCCTATTTCCTATTTCTATCTACAGAAAAAATCTTGTACTGTTCCTCTTATCCTTTTACCCTGCAGACTGTATCCACACCACTAAATAAAAAAGGCCCAGGAAATAAGCTTATGCATGACACCTTTGGCAGGTGGAAAGAGTGAATAATCTAAAGGGAATCATTGTGTCTTCCTGTTAAGTGCCTTCACATTAAGAACAGAGACTGTGTTCCCCAGAAAATGTAGGTTTGTCTCCAACCTTCAGAAATGCAATCATATTATTTCTGGTTGAAGCACTATCTTGGCTTCATATGGTTGAGTTGTCTTTTTTGCAGTAACATAGAGGAGTCTATGGGGAAGCATCCTTATTGGGCAGTGCTCACACTGCTTTATGAAGGAAATGGTAGAAATTCCCAGGATTTGTGCTGAGTGAGCAAACTTCAGAAATAGCAGAGTGATGTGTTTGCCCAGGGGCAGCACTAACTAGCCACCCAGTGCCTTTGGTGCTTGGGCTTGTGCTCTGTGTAACACTGCTCTGTGATGTACACTGGAGCTATGTTTTGGGTCACATTTACAGTCATTTTCTTGCTTTCCTGATTACACTGGTTCCATTTAATTTGGGAAAGTCTAGTCAGCCTGACACGTCCATAAATTGAATATATAAAAAACCCTCTAGAGGTCATATACAATATTTGTGACATTATTACAGGTTGACATTCTCGTACTAGCTGTATCGTGCCACACACCAGAATCCTTGCACTTGTTGTGGTGATCTGATAAATCAGAAATGAGATGTGTTTGCCCTTCCAAGAGCTATTTGCAAAGTCAGCATGAAACAAGAGATTCACTTCATTTGCTGCATTAAAAACTTACATGGTAAAGCTTCCATGTCAACAAATATCAGTCCACAGCACAATAGTTGGACACATAAGAACTGATTTTTCCTAGCTGAGATGTACTTTTTCCTTTGAAGTTTTGAGGTGACCCTGTTTGTTTTTCCCAAAGAGAGAATGAAATAAACAAAGTCTGACATGATAATCTTTCCGTATCCATTGAATTCCCTAAGGTAACTCTGAGATTACTACATTTAATGCAAATGAAAGAAGTTTTCACAAGTTTCAACAGCAGGTCACAATTTCATTGGTTCATAATCAATAAAGTGTAGGTGTTTGCAGTTGTATATATTATTTCTCAGTTTTGAAACCATAAAATATGAGTACTAGGTATTTTTTATGCATCTATTATGGTTATCAATGCAACTTTAAAATACTGTGTTTTGAAAGGTTGACATGGATATTCAAGAGCCCTAAATACATTCTGAATGCATTTTATATTATTTTTACTTCTATAGTTTGTGAAGTTTGTTTTATTTTTGCAATTCATCATTCCTTATGCTGGATGATTCCAATAGTTGTTTTTTTTAACTCTTCAGTGAGATTCTGTAGCGCCAATGTAGATATCACTGGGCCTCCAGTGAGACATATCTTCAGGCCTGATGGCAAGGCAGGGCCTCCTTTTTTTAATGTTTGTACAAAATATTTTTTGTGGGTGGATCAAACTGATCTTGAGTATTTGCACAGTAGGTTTTTGAAGCTTTTGAGGCCTTTGAAGCAAAATCCCTATTGTAATGAAAGTTTTACACAGATGGGGAATGAAGATTTAAGGTTCTAGTAGGGTTAACATTACTAATAGTTTAGTTCTTTGTATATTGTCAATGTAATTTTATTTCTTATTATATAAGTCCTGTCCAACTATTTTGCCTTTTTTTATTCCTTTTTTTAAAAGATACAAATGCACTGATAGTATGTAACTTACGAAGGCTCAAGACACCAACATGTTCTTAAAATTGTTGGGTTGTGATCTGACAGCAGAATACCTGTGCAGCTCTGAATGTAGAAAAAATGTGGTATGTTCCAGACTGCTCTCAAGGAAGCACTTCATAAAATAGAGGGTGAAAGTTACAGGGAGGAGTGAGAGCACTGTTGGATCTGCTCAGCTTCATACATCTGAGGCAGCTCATAATCACTGCTGCCAAAAACCTGCCCTGGGAACTCTCAGCACAGCAGATAGAGATGGAAGCAGCACAAGAGGCCACATTAGCTGGGATCTGGTCTGTCTTTGAAAAAGAGTTTTCTGACAGTTTGGACTGCTGTGAGGCAATGCCAGCTTGCTTGCTTTTCTAGTGCCCCTCCAAAGTTCTGATAGGTTTGAGATATTCCTGTAAAATGCTTATATCAAATTACAGCAGCCTTTTTCTGTACAATAGTGCTGTCAAAAAATGTTAATCTATTAATTTTATTTGAAGTGCTTCCTCACAACAGATATTTCTAGAGCAATTTTTAAATTTGTTTTTTCCACTTCAGAATAAAATTTGGAAATGAGAAACTGAAGTTTTCTTGTTTTTCAGAGATATCAGTGTTCTAAAATGGTTCCTTGCACAAGTGGGGCTCTTCTTCACAAATCTATGTATCAAATTTATCTTCCCTTTAACAACTTGTCAAGTTGTCAGCCTCTTCTAAGGTCATGGACTGTCCTCAGTTCTAGTAATCCTTACAGGAAATGGACCACATGTTTATTGTCTTTGGTATCCCACTGTTCCTTTTTTCTTTCCTTTCAATAAGTATTGCCATCTGTTGTTTTACACATTTTTTTTACATATTCTCTAATTTCTCCTTCATCACCATCAGGTTTTTGATTGGTTTTTTTTATTAGTTTTCAATAATTTTTTTTAATAAGAAAAAAGAAATCTGTAATGCTCACAAAAGCATTAAGCCAGATAGGGTTGAAATGCAGTTATCTTACCATCAAATATTCTTGTGTAGTTCTCTTTTCTTTTAATTACAGCCCCTGAGCACATTTTTACTCACCATCAATTACCACCCGTTATCCTGCTCATCTGGAGTAATGGCATGGTGGCAAAGCAGAAACAGAGTTAAAAGTTAAAGCAATTACATTGTAAGAATTCACCGTGTCCTTATGTGAAGAATGAAACCTCCGAGACACTTTTGGTGGTGGAATACAGGTAGCTGAGCCAAGGTTGCCCAGCACAGTCTTGTTCTATAAACACCTAGAGCAAAACCTGTCAGCCACATGCCGTGGTTTGACCCCAGATGGCAGCTCAGCTGGTTTTTGTGCTGGTGGGGCGGTGTGAGAAGGAAAAGGCCTTGGTTCTGTGTAAATGCTGCTCAACAATGACAAAAACATCCCTGAATTACCAGCATTGTTTCCAGCATAAATCCAAAACACAGTGCCATGCTTGCTACTGTGAAAAGAATTTAAAAATTTACCCAGCCAACCCCAGCACATCATGACCATGTATTTCATAATCCCAGCTGGACATGAGCTGGTCTTTTCAGATGTTGTGGTGCCACATCCCTAAAGGATATTAAAAAGTGTGTTTATCTAAAGATAATGCTTGAAGATAAATCCAACTTCCACATTAGTATGAGTGCATATATCACAAGAAAGCAATAAATGATCTAAATGATCTATCCTTCTGTTATTTTCAGAACCAAATTTTGTGTCATCTTATGATATTGGGAACTTTACCTACTTCTTCTTCCGGGAAAACGCAGTGGAACATGACTGTGGGAAAACAGTTTTCTCTCGTGCTGCTCGGGTGTGCAAAAATGATATTGGTGGCAAGTTTGTGCTGGAGGATACCTGGACTACCTTCATGAAAGCTCGTCTGAACTGCTCTCGCCCTGGAGAAATTCCATTTTACTACAATGAACTTCAGAGTACTTTCTTCCTGCCAGAACTGGACTTGATCTATGGCATTTTTACCACTAATGTGTAAGTAGACTGAATGATATATTTTATTTTCTTGCTGTTTGTGATGCCAAAACCTAGAACTTCTGAGCTACTCTCTTCTGCATATGCCAAGTAAACATCATAAATTTAAACTGTTATTTTGCCCAATCCGCTGTTTTCTGTGAATAAGTATCAGTTCTAAATGTTTCCCACATGAATTGTTGAAAACACGAGAGAAGGAATAAATTCTAATTCTTTCCTTAGTGCAGGGAGCCAGTTGTGTTAAAGACTATTCTGCCAAATTGTTCACTTATTGTTAGGAAGTAATTAACTTTTATTTTTACTATTTTAATATGCAAATGCATTATGTATTGATGAAATAATAATTTTTAATTTCAATGTGACACAATCATGAATTTAGCATGATGGAATTTGGCCATGTCATAGAGAACTCATCTTACCTAAAACAGCACAAGAGGTGCTCTTAAGTATTTTAATATAGTTCTAACATGTCCTTATGTGAATTTGAAGGCCAAACCAAGAATTTACCATAATTTTAAGTGAACCTGTTATATCAATAAGGTAAAATTAAGGAAAAGAAAGTACAATTTGGTCTTAGAAATTCAAATTTGATAAATATTAAAAAGTTGGATGGGCATAGAAAAAAAGAGACATTTATCTCATAAATATCCTTTTTAAATTTAAACATGATAACTGGTTTCAAATGCTGCTCAGTAAGAGCAGACTCTGTGTTATGGCTGTGCAGCCCAATGTTCAGACCACTGGAATAATTTCTGATTTCGAGTTCTGATTCTCCAGCCTTCTTGTAGTGTCTTGGTGTGTAAATCAGTTTTGTCTAGATTTTAAAAGGTCCTTGGGCATCTAAACCCTGAACACAGGGATGCCTACCTTTTATAAATATCCATTAACCAGTTGGAAGCATTCACAAATTAATGCCAGCAAATTATAATCCCTATGCATTCTAGACAGTGAGCATGAATTTGAGCTCATTTAGGCATCTTCTAGACTGAGGCTCACCCCTGGGCTGGCAGTTCAGGCTGTTAGCAAGACTAGTGATGAGATGGTTGCACCAGGCTGTGGCAATTCCTAAGTCATGACATTGGATGACGAGCTCAGCCTGTTTCTGCAATGGAATAATGTAGGGAATCCAAACACTGTTATGTAAAGAGAAGAGCAGAGACTTTGAGATTACTGGGGATAAGAAAATTTGCTGTTGTTTCAATTGGTACTTTTAATCTTGTTGTTGTTGTTTTCCTGATTAGTTGATGTACTAAATGACAGGTATTTGTCAGGTGGCATCCACATACTCTCTTCAACTAGATCTTTCTTGAGAAGTCAGAGTAGCCTGGGCATGTTCCTCCCATGAAAAGTCTTAGCAGAGGAATTTTGCTCTAGAAAATCCATGGGGCTTTGGCCATGGAAGAGGAATGATGTTCCTGATGCTTCCTGGCTCTCCTGAAAATGGGCTTGCTATTGTTAAGACTACCTTTGCCACATGAAAGTAGACAGTATTTTAAACCTTTTCTCTACTTTCTTCTTCCCCTGTGGCCCAATGTTCTGACTGTCCAAGAGAGATGAACTATCCAAAGAGGAATCAATTAATTATAAAGGTTTGAGGGTACAGTTTTTCAGTTGCTCTGTTTAAATGCCTGCCATCAAATGTTGTAACTAAATTTTTAGGTATTTTTGAAATATTTTAGAGCTGGGATTACTTCCCCATGGTGACTCCTGTTCACAGATAGTTTGTGGAACTCATATGATCCACCTTTCTGGCCTGCAAGTGACAGTGGAGAAACAAAGGGTTTCCTGTGACAGGGAACAACATATTCCTTTCTGTTCATGAAATAGCATCAGATATAACTTAATGGCGTTCATAATTCTTCAGTCTCATTATCTTCATAATTAAAATTAAATTTTTGTACCTTAATGCTTTTTTAGTATACATCAATATACTTGTGGAGGGAAATATGGAAACATTTCTCTGACAGCCAAACATGCACTTTTTATACATCATTGACTATCAAGTCCACTATAGCCACTGCTTCATAAAAAGCTGATTTTGTTTCTTTCAGACTATCCAAAAAATCTATAAACATGAGTCTCATGTCCTCATAGGACTTCATGAAATTCAAGAAAATATTGGTACAGTTAATAATATTAGTGAGATGCATTTAGTGATATAAGCAGGGATTTATCAGCTCCAATGATGATTGATTCTGCAGAAATTGTAAGCATAGAACTTCAAGTTTTGGCCTTCCTTTTGGCCTCGTTTGAAATAAGAGAGACAAGTATAAGAAAGCAAATTGCTCTTTTGTCCTGGTATTTAATCTGTATATCCTAACTCTTTTTTCAGTTGGAGTTTTTTTCCCATCATTATGGAGTTTCTATAGTAGGTTTTCTTAATCCGTGTGTAAATTCCAGGGTAAGCTTAAAAAAAAATAGTGGGGAAAAAAAACCAGAGAAGAATGCTGTGTGGATCAGTTGCCAGCAGTTTTAGCTGCAACAGGAAATCTGTGCAATTGACACCTTCGTTATCTATTCCATTATCTCAAAATGAAGAAAAGAACAATGCAGCTTTCCATATTAGGAGCTTTCATAGCTTTTAGATTATATTCTTTGCACTATGCAGAATTGCTTTATTGCCTTGTACATCACATTTTCAAGGCAAACCCAGGAAATTGCGTGTTTTGTCCAGCTGCCATTTATTGATGTTTATTTTTTTAACATGATATCTTGTAAGCAGTCCAAGTTGTTTTCTCTTGATGGGTTTCTGCAACTTGCATTCTTATTGCTGTACAACATCTCTTGGAAGACAGGATTGTTTGTGGACGTGTCTTGTCCAGACATTCCATAGGATCTAGAGACATACCATGCACTGAAAAACCTTACTTATGTTATGTAGTCATTTGTTGTATGGAAGAAACTTCATTGGACCCTGAGAATAATATCATCCTGAACTTTGTACCTAGAAAAGACGTGTCTCATGCTATTAAAACAGCAGCACAAAGTAGTAAGTTCTGAATTTTTCCCCACACCAGCTTCTTGTTAAGGCTGACAAATATTCTAAATGCAATGACTATGCTAAATCAGCTCATCGTTTGTCATTATCTTGAGATACCATCTCCTGGCTGATCATATCTGCTTCATTAATTGCTTGAAGGATTGAAGAGTTACTGCCTTTTTATTTATTTTTCAGCAATTTGACTTCTTAGTGTTATTGCATAGGTTAATGTATTTATTTCTTTTGCAGGAACAGCATAGCAGCCTCAGCAGTTTGTGTTTTCAATCTGAGTGCCATAACTCAGGCCTTTAATGGACCCTTCAAATACCAGGAGAACTCTCGCTCTGCTTGGCTTCCATATCCCAATCCTAACCCTAATTTTCAGGTATGGATATGTGGGAGAAGGATGATATTTTATGTAAGCTTTCCTCACAGTACTGTATGGTTCATAAATTATAAATCCAGTTTTTCACTATATTTTAGCCTAAGACCTTAAAAAAGCCTAAATTTTAAAAAGTGCTTAGGAGAGCCTCTTATTTCAATGTATTTAATTTTAATTTTATCCTTCCACAAAAATATTTGGGTTGAAAAACAGATGTACTTTGAAGGGTTGGAGAAAAAAAGGCTTAACTTCAATCTTCTGTCAAAATAAAACACTCTGGTTGTCTGTCAAGGTGACATTAACTCCTGTCTGAAGTATGATCAAGCTACTAATCTCTTTTTCATTGTATTTGTGCTGTTAGGACTTAAAAAATTGAACAGTGTCTGGCAGAAAAAAGGAAGTGAGAGGGAGGTGGTAAAGGAGGAGTGGTCAGAATTTTATATATTTTTATGTGCAACATGGTTCACACTCCCTGAAGAGTGAGATTAAAAGAATTTGTGATATGTTCTTCCCCTCATTTGAGCTTGTTTGCCTCAGAGAGTGTAATAATGTGCAGCTGTCTGATAGTGTAAAACCAGTTAGTTCAAGGTGGGTCATTTAGAGGAATTCTGCAAAAAGAAAGGGGTATTTCAGTAAGCACACAAGCATTGTTTTCATCTTTTTCATAGTCACTACTCCTACCAGGACAATTTTTAATGAGTGTGCTTCTTGCAGGGGATATGGAAGGAAAAGCAGCATTAATGTGATTAACAACAATAGCTTTTCATCAAGGTATTTAAGTGTAGTCACCTCTATCCATTTCTCACCCCCACTTAATCTCAATGCAATTTCACAAGTTCACTTCTGCTCCTGGGAGAGCCTTCCCCCAGCTTGTAAGAGTCATAAGATCTTTGCTAGCATGAAAAAGAATCACCCATTGGGGATGGTAGGTAGTTTTAATTACTTCCTGATCTATGGAAATGAAGGAAAATAAGGCACAGCTTACAGGCTAAAGCCATGTTCCCAAGTAGTATGTTTGTCATGAGCCAAGACTCTAAGTATGCCAGAAGCCTGCACAATCAGGCTATATTGTATGCAGCTTTTCACCTGTTGTAGAAATACTTGTATTGTCAAAATAGTGATAGAAAGAGGGTCTAAGAGAGGCTAAATTTTTGAAGGAGAAAGCCTGAAAAAATGCTTGTATGTAAAAATCCTATCACCTTTCTTACTAGCTAAGCACATCCAATAAAACTTATTAAACTCTCCTTACAAATTTTGCATTAATGTGGTGTTAATTATTGTGAGAGTGGCCCAAACTGAATGGTACTTACAAAGAAAGATGACAGCCTGATGGCTGTGTAAAAACAGTTTAGGTCTCTGCTGTACTGTTAGTGCATGTCTCCAAGTCCCAGTCAAGACAGGTGTTGAAATTTATTTCTTAGATGGCCTGGCTGATTTTAATGCAGCTGGTACTTCATTCAATTTACAAGAACAGTGACAACAGTTGTATCATATCTCACTGAGCCACAAACAGCTTTGAAGGCAGAGCTAGTGTCAAAAGCTGTAATGAGGCCCTTTACAGCACAATATTGAAGGCAATTGATGTCAACTGATCTCTAGGTATCTTTAACATCCAACTTCTCTTCTTTTGCTGATGCTGCTTTTTATTCCCTTGAATAACTTTCTGCTACATTTCTGGCTCCATAACGGCAGCAGTGATGCATACTAGAAGCTAGTCTAATGCTTAGAGATTTAACCATTTTTTGTGACTTGACTTTGTGACTTTAGAGTACACGCCTTATATGGATTCGATATATTCATTCACTGAGTCATTGGTTTCCTTCCAGGAAAGGACTTTTATTTGGTAGAGTAGTTATGATAAAGGATCAGAAGTTCTGTTTAGTCCCAGAAGTTCTGTGTAGTCCCAGAAGCAGATTTATCCTCTGAGTATTCACCTACTCAGTAGCAACAGAGAAGTCTGCAATTTGAAGGAGGACTACTGCTATGTAGATATAGCAACATCAGACATTGTATTTCCAAGGCTGATTTATATTAATGAATTATTTTCCATTTTAGAATACTATTGGAGTCCCAGTTTTGGGGAACATTGTTTTCTTCAGAGATCATTGCTTTTGTCTTTAGACAGGGCAATGTCTTATTGTAAGGCCAAGGACCATTTGCATTTTACTGTACTGTGACTATTCAGTTGGAATTTTTCCTGCTTGATAGATCCAGAGAACTTCTTTGGTGTGGTTTATTTTTTTCACTGGTCTGACATACAGAGCAAGTAACTGTTTCCTGCCAGTTGCTAATTTATCATTCTTCATCATCTGATCTCCCATTATGAAATAATTTGTTTGACTTTTTTTAACATTTGTGGGTTTGGAACAATCACTCAATTTTGGATTGAAATTATAGTAATAATAAAAAAAACCTGGTATGGTTTTGCTCACGCTATAATTCATGGCATAGTTTATGACATAGTAAAGCAGAATGAAAATGGTGACTTAGTTATGCCTTTCACGTCACCCAAATATTTGATAAGTGTTGTGAAGTAGTGCTTTACTTCTGTGATGCATTTATGCCTGAGTAAACATGTAAATGTTTATACATTCCCATGCATTAAGAAGATTTCTCTTTTGTGTCCTCAGTTGAACATAAATATGTTATAATTAACTCCCAGTTATTTTGCTTTGTTTATTTGTGTTTGAAACGTGTCCATGCAGCTTATGGAATTTTTCCTGTAAGAAAAGAGCACAGTTTTCATATTTAAAATATGGTCAATTTTAAAGAAAAAAAAAGTCTTTGCTGTGGATAATATTTACATAGACCTCTACACTGTCCATTTTTGCTACTTAAGATGGAGTCGCAAGAAGCTTCTAGAACTACATGATGTACTGTCACCTGGTTTTCCTGTCAGACCCTGGCAGTGGTAGGGCATGGGGTTTCCTTTGAAAATTTGTTATGTCATTAGCACTGAGGTCTGTGAAAATTATAAAGAAAATTATACAGAAAATAAATTTTTTTTTTGAATGGTAGTTTTTCTCTTTCCTGCCCTTTGAACATAGAATATAGCAAAATATTTCCATAATCCACTTGTGCTGGTCAGTCTGGTGCTCTTCCATATGGTTCAGAATTAGGGAGCCTCCATAGTATTGCCTCAGGAAAACTGAGCTCCCTGAGTCCCTGGACAGTCTGGTTAGCACCAAAATGGGACCTGAAAGTCAAATTCCACATTGCCATTTTGAGATATGCTCTTACTTTTATTTTCTTGTGCTGTAAATCAGAGGGTAAATATTGTTATTTTTGGCTCATAGAATCATGCTATGTTTCTGTCTTTACAGTGTGGCACCATGGACCAGGGTTTGTATGTAAATCTGACTGAGAGAAATCTTCAAGATGCACAAAAATTCTTCTTAATGCATGAAGTTGTTCAACCAGTTATTCCAATTCCTTACTTCATGGAAGACAACAGCCGATTTTCCCATGTGGTTGTGGATGTTGTGCAGGGCAAGGACATGCTTTTCCATATTATCTATCTTGCCACAGGTATGAATCTTCCTTGCTGGGATAACTGCAAAAATTTACGAGGTCTTTGGGTTTTAATGTTCAGTTAATTACTTATGAAATACGTGTACAGCACCTTGAGCATTGGCTTTTCCTCTTTGACACAATCACCTATCTTCTACCTTTTCTGAATAGATCAATTTAGCCACTACAATGTCTTTTATGTTATTTTGTGAACTCCAGTTCTGGTGTCTGTTTCCTATTCTCTTTGAAGCTGTGAAGCTTGTAAATCAAATCAAGCGTTGGAAGTTCTACAAATAGGACTTCCAAAGTTCCACCATCTTTTGTTCCATTTACTTAGTTAAAGGTACAAAGTTAAGGGCCCAAGACAAGATGGTTTAGGACTCTCTGATGAAGAAGTAACTTTGTAAATATCAAATACAACAACTTTCCTTTTCATATCATTTTTAGGATATTTATTATGCAGTTTTATACCCTGCCTCATTGTTTGCCCATTTTTATGTGAGCTTAGCATGAAAAGAAAAACAATCCTCCACCTTGTATTGCCTTCATTAGAGCTAATGCCCTCTTGGTTCAAAATTTCAATCTTCTTAAAAATAATGAGGGAGTTGGAGAACTTTTTTGCAGAACAAAGGCGTCCCCAGCTGAGACTGAAATACTAAATTGGACTAATAAGTTTAAAGCCTTAAGGCATAAAACTTAGGATAGTTCTTAAGTACTTGGGCCTATGCACATTAGTAGGGAATAGTTCATCAAAGCAATGGTTTTTTAATGTTCAGTTTGTCTCATTGTGCTCTTTGAAAGCTGGGCAGTAACAGAAAAGTTTTTGATAGGCTAAAATATGCTTGCATTTGACCAGTTCTAGTCAAAACAGCTTTTTGGTTGGTAAATCAGAACATTTTAAGTGAAATCATGCCAATGCTAACTGATGTTGGTATTGTAGAAACCTCCTGACTAAACCTGAATTACAGATACATGCACTGAATTGATTTTATATGAAGAGACTATCACTACATTGTGGGATATTTACATTATTTACAGTCTTGGAAGCACCAAGAATAATGACATTTGTCATAATTCTGATTGTCTTTAGGTTTCAGTTTCCCTTGGTGCGTAACCATTTACATTAGAATCAGCAAGTGAGGATCTAAAATTTTATGCTTCATGGTTCATTAATAAATTGTGTTCGGGAGTGATTCCGTGTTCTTTTTGTGCTGCTAAAAAAAATACTGCCCCTATGCTCCTTGTGATGTATCCTTGCCTTTCACTTTAATTCTTCTCTGTATGTCTGGTTCTGATCATTCATGGAAGCAGGGTACTTATCTTAGCTGGATCTTTAGTCTAAACTCTGCACATGCTTTCCTGTAAGTGGACAGTGTATGTTTTATAAGTATGAGAAAGCATATGACAAAACCCCCATTCTATTCTTGCAGTTTTCTTGACTTAGTCAATTCTATTTCACATGTATTTCACTGAATCACAGTGGATTTTGTTAACATTCCTTCTACCCCAATGGAGTGTAAGTGTTAAGACTTATTTTCTAAGAAGTACTAATACTCACTTTTGGTACAGAAGGTAATTGTACCTTCTTATTGTACTTTCTGCTGCCTCTAAGAAAGTGCGTTCAACTCTGATGTAAGTTCTGCCAGTATGCAATTTGCACTTAGCATTGGAAAGCAGGATGGATCCAAACCATGCTGTGAGAGATGTACACCACATAACTTTTGAAGTTATAATTAATTCCAATGTTCTCTAAAAATTGTCTTTTAAAATGCACAAAGCTTCAGTGGAAAAGCAGGCATACAGATTAGATTTAATAAAAATGAATGTTCTGCTGTCTTTGTTGCTCAAAGCAAAAATCCCATTTTTTTAAACAGATGACCAATAGTTACGAGAACATTCTTTCTCTCACCTACCCACACCCTGTTTTTAGAATACAAATATTACAGGGGAGAATGACCCTGAAAGTATAAATGTATAATCTAATTTGATTAAACCTTCAATAGACGTAGTATTACTGATGTAGTGTTACTTTAGGAGAGACTGGGAGTAAGCAAACAAGTGCATTAATCTGCTGAGTCAACAGTCTTCATTTCCTAAACCTTTGCCAAATCATCATTCTGCTAGGAGATTCTGGTGTGCTAGGGCTTAACAGCTACTGCTTATATAAAAAAGTATGCTTTGGTACTTTGGAGAAACATCTTAATCTTTCTCTGTACTGAATTCTAACACAGAATGAAGGGATATATCAATTCCTGCATATTTTGTGCTGCTGGCTTTAGGCAAGAAGAAATCCCTGGAAAAATTTTCCATGATTTAAAAAAGAAGATCAAGGAAAGCATGCATGGATGAACTAAAGCATTCATGATGTTCTGAGCTAAAAGACATCTATAACAATACATGAAATGTAGATCAAGCTATAGAAACACTAGATATCCTTAAAACTCTCTAAGTTTGAAAGGCCTCTTTCTTCATAAAAAATTCTAATCCAATCAACATATCATAGTTTGTTTCCCTCCCTTTTGTCCCTTTTCCCCTATCTTCATATTTCTTTCTTCCACTTCATTTCTCCCCTACACTCTAAGTGCCTACGTGTCCCATGGTTAAAAATGTTGCTTTAGGTTTTTTCAAAATAAGATGCTGCTGCAAGGGCAGGTATCCCTTATTCAGATGGCTTTTTCCAAATGTATTTATTTACTCAAATGAATAAGAAAATTATAAGATATAGTGTCCAGTTTGAGGGCATTATGAACATATGATAAACTTGGGAGTTCAGAAAAGGTAATACTTGCACTGTCTGGTGAAAACCTTTAAAGGCCATCCTAAAAACTGCTTGGTGAAAAACATCCCATTTTTCTGTTCTTCAATACCACTGTACAGAGTGCCCTCTGTATCCTGAGTAGAAGTGGTATATGCCCAGTGATAGATCTCAGTTACTGGGATTTATAGTACAGCACTGATGAAATTGGTGTATGACTGACCTAAAGAGAGTATGAGACCTGAAGCAAGATTTATTGTTGGCTACATTGCATGTATCTAAAGAGTGAATTGCTCACTGAAGTGAGCCACAATTTTTATGCCATAAATCCAGGTTTTATCTGAGGCTTAAAGGTCACTGGAGGACATTACAACAGGTTTCCAAGGAGTTCTAAAAACTGCAGGTAGCAATGCCGAGAATAATGACAAAAATAATTCTGATGGAAAAACATACAGCAATTATAATGAACAACTAGAAAGAAGAAGAAATTTCAAAAAATTTTTTTGGAAAATGCAGGTAGAATTTTCATACATTTGCCTTTAGAAGCATTGAAACAGGTAGCAAATATCCACAAATACAACAATTTTTTCTCATTAAGCCCTTAAACTTTAGATTATACAGAAACTAGTCCCGATCTAATAAAGAGATTTGGAAGTTTGCTTGAAACTCAGTTTGGGAATGCCATCATAACAGTTTGTATTTCTTCTGTTTGTCTTCCTAGATGGGAGTAAACTTATGCAAAGTACTCCCTGATATGATTCTTCTGTGATTTTTGTTACACTTCCATCTTGTAAATTTTCATTTGTAATCAGTACACTTCATTTTTTTCTAGGAAACAACCCAAGGTCTTAACAAGAAAAAAAGTTGTATGTTTCTTACTTAAAAGTCTCTGATGGAATATTGTCATTTTCCTGGCAGACTACAGCTTCTGATCAAAGTGTGCAGTTTTCACAGTTCAATACACATGATGTCAGAATATATGCAGTATCTGTGCAGTTGCCATCCTGAGAGTTATAAGCAAAAATATGTGCTTATGTATGTTTCATATATGGTGAAGAGGGCAACAAAGCTTAAGTTAGCTACATTTTTTCCAATTTGGTGCTATTCCTGACTGCATTATCTTAAGTGAATTGAGGTTCTTGGAGTAATCTGTAGGTAATTTCTGTAGAAAGGAGATACAGACATTTCATCTCAGTTAAGAACCACTTTCTTTGTCTAGAAATTACAATATGAATGCAATAACAATAAGGATCAAGTAGTTGTTATTCGAGTCAGAAGTCAACTGTGAAAATAATAGGTAGTCTATTTGCATGTATTTATCCTTTTTAGCTCAAAACCAGAAACAGTGGAATCAGAGTACAAATGGATAATGGGGCATATACACTGTGGCACATAGTTGTCGCTTTTTAAAAACCATTTTTCTTTTTTTGTTACAGAAAACACAGTTGTTTTGTTTTTTATGCCTTTGCTTGACAAAGGTATAGTGCGCTTTTACAGAGTTGTAAAGAACCCTTGGAGTGGCTTTAAAACTATTTTCCTGTAAGTTGTTGCCTTCTGGACTTATGCAATGCCATTTCAAGTGCCTTGAAGGAAGGATACTCATCAGTTACTTTGATTGGGAAAGGTGGTGCATGTTGGAAGACACCAGTGCTGACAGCAGTGTGATGATCTTGAACATTTGTTTCAAAAAGTCAAATAGGGAGCCATAAAATTAATAACCATACTCTATTCAGCTTTTGCAGTGACACCTATTTCTGAAAAAGGAAAACCCTAGCTGAACTAACACTTTGTTTATATTGTTAATCTTTCAGGAAAAAAATCTTTGCAAAGTTCTAAAAAAAGATGTAAAAGATTGCATTGTTTTGTCTTGGAAGAGTCTAAGGATCACTCTGGGATTTGTCCTAGCTTTTCTAAGAAGGCTTGCTGTATATTTCTGCTAGCATATTTATGTTATTTTCCATGTAGAATATCTCTAAAGGCAAAGAAGGATAATGCAAAACTTTGGGGTTTTTCTATGTAATTTAACAAAAGAAATGTTGATTTTTCACTGTCTTATGTATTGTGTCATCCATACTGGGCTAAGTGGTTTTAAAATGGTACTAAATGAGAGTGGCTACATCTAAAATCAGGGCTACAGTGTTATAAGTTGTACTGTGTGGCTCCAGAGGATGAAACTGGGCATTTGAAATGTCCAGCAGTACTGATTTCCTTGGCTTTATCACTGTGTGTAGAGATGAATCATTCTGCCAGATCCAGTTGGTGA